GTTCTCGTTCCAGTCCTTTCTCAGTCAACAGACGTCGTCGTCGTGAACTTCGTCGTGGTTCTTAAGTTCCCTATTATTTGAGACACAACATGTCTCTTTCCCCTCTCCCCAAACAAAGTTGGAACAATATTCTTAGATATGCTAAAGTAGTTAACACAGAGCTTCAAAAACAAATAATAACATTATCTGAGAGGGGTGAGGAGGAATTTGTTAAAGGAGAGTGGGCTGACAGACTCTTTAAGCTGCCCAATATAATTAAGATGGAGTGAAAAGCTATTTGAGTCTGCTATTCCCCAAGCCCTTCAATGTTTGATTATGAAAGGGCTCAAGGCTAGCTGCTTTTGTGGTGATTTTCACTTCCATGGTGATCAAAATTTAAGAAAACACCTGAGTTGGTTGATTTAGAGACTTCAATAATGCACTCACCCCCTGGAGTTTAGTTTTACAGTCACCACATCTTGGAACCTTGCCTGGCTTTTTGGTGTACAGGTATACCAACTTTCCCCCTTTGAAGGTGACAAAAACATTATTTTATTAGTTGAGGGAGATCACTGGATACTAAGCAGCAGCCATTTTAAGTTTTTGGAGAATTAAAAATAAAACTGTTTCAGTATTAAAGTTCAAACTCATTTTCATATTTTTGATTGCGTGGTTAGACATTTGAAATGTTTGTTTTTCTGCTAAATGATAGCCACATAGTAAAGGTCAGTTCAGCTATTCAAGCAGAGTGTAGCTGATTAACCAATCCCATCCCTTGGTAAGCTTCTCTTGGTAACTATAACAAACACAAGTTTTAGGCACATAACCGGCTAAAACTTTTGACTCTGTACTTCCACTCAAATATAAAGATTGTTAATGTCAAAGGTGCACTCTTCAGTCTGTAAACTGCTAAGAGCGTACAACATTACCCTTACTGTGCTACAGACTGTTAGAAAATCAGTATTAATTTATTATTCCTTTTACCTAAAAACCTGGCCCCAGTTGTTTAAAGGAGGGATAGCTCCATCCAACAGATAAATCTCTATCCAGTGGACAATAAAATACTAGCAATAACCAAAGGATAAAGAGTGCGGGCGACAACAATCAAATTTCGCTCCAACACTGAGGGCAGGTTTAACGCGACAGATGGTCAAAACACACATGATCACAAGGGGTAGAATTTTGAAAAGCGCGTGATCAAATTGCATTCTGTACATTCCATTTATTCTTAGTAGAAGTCCAAACAAATGCTGGCTACATACATGCGATGCATGTGTAATAACAACATGGAGATTAGGATTGCCAGCTCCTCTTGTCCCCAACGCTGTATTCTAAAGGAAATTGAAGTCTGAGAGCAAAAGTTAGGTGCCAGGGGCCACTGGGCTCTGCTAGCGCACAGCCCTGGTCCCCCACAATTATTATCGGTTTCCTCAATACTTGACCCACTGGATAGTGACCTATCCTGTGGATATCACTATCTAATGTCTGAACAACAGAGGCCAGGTGGGAGGAATTTTTCGATTTCATTTTTTAAATGTGAAGTTCAGCTTATAAAGTGAAAAAAAAAAAAAGAAAAGAAAAAACACCAAGACTATGCACAACAAAAAGGGTTGCCCAGACTCAAAATGCATATGGTTAGCACTTATGCATGGTAAGATTTCCGATATAACCCCCATTCATTTATAAAAAGCATGCATGTTTCCACTCTATTCATATCGATTTTTTGTGTGAAACAGTATGAAATTGCTACATGCTTATTAAATGTGTGAGATTACATGGAAATCTTACCCTCATTTTAGCAGGTACAGTAAGTGCTTCACGTAGAATTGTTGCATGCATAATTTTCAACTTCAAAATAAAACTTACCAGGTGTCTTTGAACTGTGCAAGGAAAAAAGAAAAAGAAAATAATTACAAGCTATTCAATCTCATTTCAATTTAACATTTTTTAACCCACAGAGCACATGTATATCTTGCAAAGCAACAAATTACAACTCACATCCTTTTCCTGTTGGATTTAGTGTTGTAGGAGAGACGACGTCTGTAGGTCAGTCGCTGCGCCATCTGCAATAAAAATTACATCAATGATTGGCCAGAACATTCTGCTATCCATTCCTAATTGTCAAAACTACTGCGATGTTAAAGTTTTAGAAGATTAATTCGGATTCTAAAATGTAACGAGAAATTCTCTTACTTTCAACTTGTTGGTGATTTTGGAAGAGAACGAGAACAAGGCGCGCGTTGCATTTTGGGGATTTTGTTTTGCGCCTGCGATCATGTACGCAACACGTGCAGAGCAAAAACATGGCGGACAAACTTAGCAGAAATGTAACGATTTGAAATTCTCTAAACTATTCATTTGAAAAACAGTCGCAATTTCGTACGATTTTTTTCGATAAATTAAACGCCGAAATTTTATTCCGCAACTGAATTGATGTGGAAAATTTGGTTACCTTGAGGCCAAATGGAAGGAAAAAGCCACCTTGTACAGAATGACGAAACCGTCTTTTCTGGCTCTCGGCAAGAGAGAACACCTCAAAATTATCCTGATCAAGCTGTTTCGAATGAATCGTGCACTGTGACTACAGAAGCTATGGATACAGCAGGAGTCAGTGAAATGCAAGCCTTCAGAAGTGACACAGTTTTAACGGGGGGAAAAGCGCACATATTTAGTTCAAAGTCTTCAAATTTTACACAACAGAATGTTAATAGACTTACTGGTCTGGCTGCGATTGCATACAGTTACAAAGAAGACGTTGAAACATCTGCCGAAAGTTCTACAGAATTGGGTAATTTCAAAAAATCTTCAACTGGCGTTGAATGTTGGAAAGAAGAGTTAGATAATAAGACCGCTGTAGAAAATTCCACAAACACCATGCGTTGCACAGATGCTTCTATTAAGAACCTTGAAGACCACAGAGTAGTGGAAAATAATAATAATTTAAATGCATGTGAAAAAGTCATCATTTGTGCCCCTAAAAATGATGCATCTTTGAAGAAACGGGAAAGTGAATTTAGCAATGGAAGTATAATAGGGGCCACATCACAGATTAAAATGCTTGAAAGGGAGAGCAATGAAATAGCACCAGAAAACCATGAAATTGCACATTCTGAACCTGGTAATACTGGTACAACAATGGCTGCTGATAGTTCTGAGAGTGTTCAAGAGACTGAAGTTGTTGGGCATCCGGTTGTGGAGTCTAACAATATTGATAACATGGTAAAAGAGCTTGTTAGTACTGAAAACGTGATGACAGAGCTTGTCAATACTGGTACTGCAATGGCTGCTAATACTTCTGAGAGTGTCCAAGAGGATAATGGTGTTGGACATTCAGTCCTACAGCTTAACAATATTGGTAATGTATTAAAAGAGCCTGTTGGTATTGGAAACATAGTGACAGAACCTGTCAATACTACAAGCACATACAGAGAGCCTGTGAAAGTTGGATTTACTATCACAGATTGTGGTAACATTGCAAACAAAGTCACAGAGCCTGTCCATATGGGGGATACAACAAATGAGCATCGTAATGTTGTAGGCCTAGCCAACAAACCCACAAATACTAAACATATTCTCCCAGAGCATCTTAACATTGGTGCTGAGTCCAATACTGAACATGTGAGAACAGTACAAGTTCATATTGAGGATATAACCAAAGAGCCACTGAATACTGGGATCACAAGTGGAAGCCCTGTTACTGTTGAAAATGTGAAATTAGAGACGGGTAATGCATTCTCGAACACAGCTTCATCAATAGGAAGTGTGGATCAGGTCTATGCCATGGACACTATTGACCATGAACTAGACAGAATCCATGATAAAGGAACTGGGGATCAAATAGAGTATACTACAGAGACTGACTCTTCCTCTAGTGACAGTTCTTCAGATTCTGATGATGAAAGCTCATCAAGTGAAAGCTCCACAAGTTCTGAGTAAGTAAGAATTATTACAAAAACAAACCAACAAATAAAAAACAACCAAAACAAATGCCCGTTTTGTAGCACAGGGGTAATGATTAATTTACATCTGCTACCGGAGACAGGACTTCAATTTTACTGTTGGCCAGAACCTCTTTAGAACCTCTAATTTGATAGGTTCTTGTTGGCCCAAAGCTCTATTGTTTCAGAGTTGGGGTTCATTGTTAGTTTTGTTTAGGTTACGGCTATCTTTTGTTTTCTAAACCAATCCTGTGAGCCGTTCTTAGAGCTTCTGGCCCACCCCAATTTTACGGGGTCATCCAAGCCACACAGGGGTCTTGCTGTTTGCAATCAACATACAAATTCTCCAAACTGATCTCAATACATTTCCTTAAAGAATTAATTGAGAGTCAAATTTGATAATAGATCAAGGCATTTGCTCTTGGGTGATCATTTTATTTATTTGCATTACGTATCTCTTGACAGTGTATGGATGATGTTAGGAGAAAATTGATCTTGGTCACCATTGGGACTTAAAGGGTTAAAGCAGTAACTTGATTTCTCCATTATTTTTAAGACCCTGGTGTATAGTATTGGGACGGTCCCAGGAATCAAACCCATGACCTTCTGTTATGCAATAAAGCCAGCCTACCAACTGAGCTTGTGCTGATGTGATTGACTTGCTAATCCTTTCATTTCCAGTTTGCATCAAAATCTATAAAATGAGAGCTAAAAAATGCATTTTGTGACACTTACCTTGTATGTGACAAAACTGCTGTGTCCTAACCTGGGAGTAGTGGAATGATCCATTGTTGGTAAAGTGTGTAATTTTCATTAGATGCTAACTTTCTCAAGAGAAACTTATCATTTAAAGCGAAATTTTAAGCTGGCCCCTTGCAGCTTAATCCTGCATATTAGCAAACTATTGATCAAACTTTGATATTTTCCCAAGTGATGATCTTGAGGACATAAGAAGAGAGATAGAGAAAGAAGAGGAACAAGTCCTGAAAGGTCCTCCAAGAACCAAGAGTGAAGTATTAGCAAAGGTACAGTAGGCCTGGGTTTCTGATCTGTTAATTCTTCTTTGTTGCAGAAATATGACATTTCCTAGTATAGACTAGAATCATATTTAGTCAACCTTTAGAAGTTTAATAGACTACCTTTTTGTACCTATTTCTTTTTTTTCCTTCATTTCCTCATCTGTTGGTCCAATTTATATTGTGCAAAACTAAAGTGTTTGGTTGTCTGCATAGTAATAACTATTATTGTTTTAAAGTTATGAATATAATTTATGAAAATCATATATGTGAACTGCGGGGTGAAGAATTATGTAAAAGTAGATCATCGCAGTTGTATAAACGCAACTTATGCAGTTACAAATAGAGAGCCTGAAAAAACTATATTCCTGTACAAGCCTGAATTTGTTTTTTTCAGGCTTTCTTTTTGCAACTGCATAAGTTGCGTCTATAACTGGGATGATCTACTTTCATATAATATTATTGTTTTGTTTTAACCCAACATTGAATGGGGGAGATAGGGGTGTACATATGTACAGCAGAAGTGAAAACTGGTTTTGGACAAACAATGCTGTTAACTGTAGCTTTAATCAGGAGTAAAGTCATGATCATCTATAGTGATAATAGCATGTAAAAAGATCATAGATAGACGTTAGAAAAGTGAAGGAAGACTAGGTACAGGTAGGATGAGTCTCTGCTTCCTAAATGTTTTGGTTTGCCATGCAGAGTGCATGTTTTTTTTTCCTTAGCTTGTATTATATGTTTTTTTTCCTGCGTGTTCCAGCTTTCTGTATTTTTTAAAGAGAATTAAATTTTTCATTTAACAGTAGGTTCCCAGTACCCATTTATACACCTCGGTGGGGGAAACAAACTGAAGCAAACTTTCTTGTGAATGTCAAAGGAATTAAGCAATGCTAGCGCTGGACTTGAGTCCAGAGCTACCTACACTAATTTTTTTTTTTTTTTCAAAAGGACCTTCCAGAAATTCCTGAACTGGATATAACCATTGATGATGATGTTCAGCTTGTGGAGCTTGGTGTAATATTCAGTATAGTTGAATCAATGGGTAAGAATATCAGCTATGTAACATTGTCATACAATCACATTTCTATACCTGCTAGCTGCTGTCCTGAAAATTATCTCTTATTTGTAACTAAACTACTGGTATAACTGTGTGCAAATGACCAGAAATAGCAACATCAGTCTATTAAAAGACCATTTGGCAGTGATCACCTAATCAAGCTACTTTTTCATCTTCATCTCAGTGAATTAAGTTGTTATAATAATTATTAAGAGGAGCAATAAATATCATCTACAGTAAAATTCTTTTAAATTATATTAATACCCCATTTGCTGTTATAATAATTTAAGGGTTTCCAGTAAAAAGGGTGTAATAATTCACCTAATGTATCAATATTAAGCAAATTATGCCCTAATTTTTGCTGGAAACCCTTCAATTGTTATTATATCTTCTCAGTTGATGATTATAACTGTTCCTGATCATCACTATGAACTTTCCTATATTTAGACAGGTCAAACTTTACTGTCACAACAATAATTATCCACCTTTTCATGATATGGTTCATAAAAATAAAGACAGTCACTAACTGCAAAAAGTGTTAATTTTTGTTGTTGTGTTATAGTGGTTGTAAAGGCATTACCCCAAACACCTGCTTTGGATTCAGACAGTATTCTCTTCATGGGAAACAGATCCTGTTTAGGCCTGGTAATGACTTCTAACTGTTTGTAGATAGCCATGAATTTGTTTATTTTGTGTACCTGTGCGTGGAATATAATATATTCCAGTGATTGTTGGATTATCAAGATAATAATAATTTTTTATGTTGTTCCAAAACTTAAAGAAATCATCAATTATAAAAGGTTTATAGTGTAGGGGTAGCGGTTACAGGATAGGCCAGTTACTGATGGGCTATTGCTGCCTTGTAACAGGTTTCCCCAGGTAAGGGAGTCTGGAATCTAGAATCTGGGAAATTTTTGCATGTGGAATCCAGAATCTTGGAAATTTTTGCTTATGAAATCTGGATTCCTAGGCCTTGGAATCCAGAATACAGCTGTAGGAATCTGGGATCCCACTAAAATTTGGAATCTGGAATCCAAGTTCCCCTGGAAAAGATGTGGAGTCCATTAATTGGAATCTGGAACCCACAGCATTGAATCCATAATACAAGACTGTCTTGGATTCCCTTACATGGGGTGAAAGAGGGCTGTCAACAAGGGCTGCTAGCCGTTCAAAACCGCTGGCTAGTTAGCCATCCTTAGCCAGCTGCTTTCATCTCCTACCGCAACTGCTAACAAAAAATAAGCACCATTGAAAAAAATTGTATTTAGCATTCGTTTCCCAGTCTTGAATGACATTGAACGCATATTTAAACAGGTTTAGATTTGTGAAATGTTTGAACCATGTGATGTTATGGAACACCAGGGACATTTCAATGGCATTGTTCCCAGTCTTGCCTGTATTCTGATGAAACAACATGGCACCCATGTTGGAAAATACCTCTTGAAAACCCCTGGAAACACCATTTCCAAGACTCTGAATTTCAAAGTGCCCTAGATACCGACCATCAGCTGCAGGGCTCTGCTCACACAGAAAAAGTCATTGGAACCAGTAAGGATCCATTTCATTTATTTAAGAAGCTGTTATTTGCCTTAATTGCAGGTATTTGAGACTTTTGGACCTGTACAGACACCATTTTATTCTGTCAGATTTAACAGGGAATCAGATATATGTAGCAAAAATGTCCACGTTGGTGACAAGGTGTTCTATGCCCCTGATGTCATGGAGTATTCGCACTATGTGTTTGTTACACAACTGAAAAAGTAAGCATGGAAATCAGATTTGTTATTGATAATAGTGTAAATTAGTATTTCAAAATAATATTCTCTATCTCAGCACATGGTTTTTGTTCTTTTTATACATACACTGATTACAGGTAGCCATTATGACACCTGAAGAAGGATCATGAGGTTATCCCTATAATTATTAAGATCTCTCCTTACACGTCAATAACCCACCAAGCCCAGGAAAGGTTGGGCACACCAACGTGGTCTATGTCTCCCACTCTTTTCGAACAGTGGTGTGGGTTCTTAGCTTTTACGTCCCACAAGAACCAGATGAGTCAAAGTACTGTAAGATGGGACCTACAGTTTTTGTCCTTATCAAAGAAGACTAGAAAAACTAACCATTTGCAGATGTCATTACAAATGCAGCACTTTCTTCTCAATTATTTAAAGACCCTGACTCTGGTATGGCCGCAGTTTGAACCTGCAACCTCCCGCTCAGCAGACCAGCTAACCAGGCGGCAATAATTGTATTTGTTTGTCATTTTTTGTCATTTTTCACTAGGTTGAAAGGCTCGGATGCTTCATGGGAACATGACGAAGAACCCCCTCCTGAGGTGAATGAAATAAATTACATTTTTAATTATAGTTGCATAAAAATCTTTTACAGAAAATTTGCTTGTCTTGAAATCAATACTATATTTTGTTAAATGTTTTAAACTTTTTTCTAAATCTTTTATTATAAGTTACTTAATTTCAGTAGGCACAGCAACTGTATGAAAAAGCGTCAATGTTCTGCATGATTCCTTTGCAAGCGTTTAAGCCTGTTAAAATTGAGTCTGTCATTGTTATTATTTTATTTTTTATTTTTATCTTTGTTGCCACTATTAGGCCGTAGAATATTCTGATGACGAGGAAGAATCAAAAGCAAGAGCAAGTAGGAGAAAAGAAAGGTACAAATATTATGCTTGAGTGTTGATAAGATGTCTTTGATAAAAATTATAAAGAGCACCATGTTGTAGCTACCTACATCCCCAAATGCAGATCATTGAAAAATTTGAACACTTTCCATCGACTCCAGCCCTAATAGGACGTAGTTCTATAAAGGGACTGTGAGTCATGCACTCCTTAGTATTTTCAACTCTTGAAAGTACAAATTCAATGTCTTTTTCAAAAAGCTGACCTTTTTTGTGTAAACCTGCAGTGGAAACCAGTCTGATCATGCTAATATTATCATAATAAAAATTATAAATAGTAATAATAATAATAGGGGTTATAGTATTGAACACATTAAAATTTTGCGTGGTATTCGACAGGGGTTTTCAACCAACACGTGGCCAACAAATTACCGACATGCTGCCAACAGTCAGCCGACAATCGGCCGACAAATGGCCAACTGTCCGCCGACTGTTGGCAGAATATTCTCGTAAAAGGTGGTAAACGACAGTGGGCCGACTGTTGGCAGACTGTTGGCCAACTGTTGGCCGACAGTTGGCCCACTGATGACCAACAGTCAGCCAACAGTTTTTTGCGGGAGCTGTTCTTCACCTTTTCCGTTATGTGCACGATTTGGACTTTAACTCCATTATTTCATTTCATTTCTGATGCACTGTTGAAAACATTTCTCTGTAGGATGGCCAAAAGTGGTTCTAAAACAGATGAAAGTACTCAGAAAACAGGAGAAAGTGGGTCCCATTTTCATCAGGGATTTAAAAGAGGTTTGTGCATTGTGTAGAAAATAGTGTAATTTAAAAAAAGAAGAACTACGGACCCGTCAAACTCAATTTCGCCTGTAACCTGTCTGCTCCTAAAAGTTCTCCAAATTATAATTCATAGAGATGGGAAATTAAAAGAAATAAATAAATTTGTAATTTAGTACCATCTATGAGTGGAATGGACTTAGCTCTCCTGTGGTGACAAAACTAGCTGTGAATAAGGTAATCATTGCAAGGAAAGCACTCCCTGACATTTCTTATGTATGGAGCATCACGAGAGGTCATTAATTGAACAATGAACTTGACTTTAATGAAAAGTAGTTTCCACAAAAAATCCAAATTACAAAATCATTCTTAAATCAATCTTTACAATAGGTTTCTGTCATTATAATGTTTCAGGTAACAGAAAGAGAACTTGGCAAAACCATGCGAAAGGAAAGACTGTCACTCAGAACCAAAATGAAGGGATGCCTCCTAGCAACTCAGTGCCCATACCACACCCAGCATACAGAGGTCCTACACCCTGGAGTGGGAAGGCATCACCTTTGCAAGCATCAGAGAGACCCTACATGGGCCCTCTCCCTCATGAAGCTATGCACTTTCAGGGTCTTTCAGAGGGACCTCCCAGGGGGGTACCTCCAGTGATGCTTCCTCCAATAGGGCCACCTTCTTCAGTTCCTATGGGACACATTCCTCTAACAGAGCCAGGCCCCATGATAAATTTACCTAGACCACCATTTGGGCCACCAAGGCCCTTTGGTGGTGGACCAGGTGTCCAGAATCCTTGGCCAGGGAGTCCATCTCCTGGTTTTTCTCACAGGTACCCTATTCCTGCACCTCAACATTTTCAGAATCCCAGGGGAAATATTCAAAGTTTTCCAGGAAGAGAATTCATGGCTTTTGGTGTGCCACCTCCTCCTCCTCCTCCAACACCCCCACCTATGTAAACAGATAGAGACCATAAGTCTGGGATAGTAAAAACAGGTAAACAACCTGTTACCATGGGAAACCAGCTTGGTGTCCAGCTAAGAAAGTGGTAAAAGTATGGTCTTTGATATAAATAAATATTAAAAGTATGCAAAGGGACCTCTAACTATACCTGAAGGCAATAAAGTTATGGTGTACCTTCAAGGTCTCTAATTATTACTGTAACACCCCACTTGTTAAAGATGGCCAAGGTTAGGATGAGACTTTTTGATTCTGAACGAGACCTCACAGTGTAATCCTTGATATGAAACCCCATCAAACTGGTGCTTTTTCATGATGCAATTTGTTTTGTTTTGTTGTTTTTTTGTTTTTTATGAATCGGACAAAATGAAGTTGACAACTTTCTCCGACAGTTTGTGATTTGGCATTATTGGCAAAAACAGTTTATTTGATTTCAAAGTTTAGATTTGCAGCATGCATGATGATTAGAATTACCAGTAATTAAAAAAATGTTGGAAAACAGTATCACAGGAACATTAACTGCACTTTGGTTTTATTTAATAATAAATTGACTGTTGTTAAACGTAGGGTTTGAGAACAGGCTAGGGCTTTCAATGAGTGTTATAACCTTTTTTATTATTATTATTTTTTCACCTGCATTTTCTGTGTCGGATTAAGTAAGCAACAAAAAATTAATAGGCCATTTTCACGATGAAGTCAGATAACCACAACTACCAAAATCCATTACTTTTTTGTTCTTTTTTAAATTTATTCTCACCAACATTTATAAAACAACAACCCTGGTTTGCATGTACACACAGCAAAGTAGAGGATTCTGGTAGTTGTAGTCAAATAATGTCATCATGAAAATTTTCTATTTTTAAAACTTTCCAGTACCAGCTGCAATTTATTGTTAAGGACTTTTTAAGTCTGGTGTTATCATAATAATATTATTATAATATTATATTCTGAAAATAGATGACTTTAAAGGTATATATGAACCCTGTAAGAAGTTTTTTTTTTGGTAAAAGGCACTCAAGTACAATAAAGGAAACCTTGATAAAGAACAACCATGGCTTTGGTCTTGCATATCCTTTAGTTTCGTTTTATCAATGCATCCAAAACTAGTTAGCTGCAAAACTCCCCTGTTAAGAAATATCATTCCATCAACTTTGCGCTTTAATAATCTTTCTTGTATTTTACCAACCTAATTCACTTTTTTTACACAGTGTAAAACAAAGGAATGACTCTCATCTCCTTTGATGGTTCATTAAATCCATGTGAACATTGTGTTCGTACAGGTACAGGTACATCAACATGTAAACTGCAACATGAATATTATTCATCCATGGATGTAATGCCATGTTATTGTATGCTGTAGAGCAGTCCTTTTCAGTTCTCAAGCTTATTCCTTGGTCAATGATTTTGTCATTTGAGTTCTTTTGTCCTTCAAAGTATGACGTTTGCCTTGTAACCATGGAACTCCACACGTTCACCAGACACAATGGTCAACTTTTCTTTCCTCTTGCAAATTAAATATGGGGCTATAACATCAAACCAAAGCCAACTCATGATTCAGTGTGATGGATGTTATAGACTGTAAGCACTGTTCGCAGCAAAAAATTTAAACAGAATCTAAGCCCAGTTGGGCGTGGAAAGAGAATGTCCTCTGCTGTTCCAAAGCTTTTCCCCAAAATGATATGCAGTGGCAAGACCACCACCCAAAGCTCCAGCTATAGCAATGGGTCTCACGCCTGCTGTCGATTTAAAGAGCATGCCCGTTAAGGTTGCAGCACCAATAGAGTTGAATTCATCTTCCTCTCCTCCACGTAACTTTCCAATCAATGTGTCTAGACTGCAGTACATGAGTGCTGTTCATAACAAAAAAAAAATTCAATATTCTTTTTAGTTACTATTCAATCATAACTTTTCATTAATATATTTATATTAAATTCTTTCCTTACATAAACTTTAGTCAGTTTTTTTCCTGCACATGCATTGTGATAATAACATACTTTAAGGACCCATTTAATTGCCCCTGGAAACTAATGCCAAAAAATGTTTTTTTAGCTAGTCAGGTTGTTTTTTCACTCAGTATAACCAGGCTAGCTGTTTTTCCTGATCCAAAATAATTACAACTTTCAAAGTTCATGTAACTTTTTGCTGGGCATGTACGAGGCTACATTAATTTTTATTGGGAATACACTGACATTTCTACAAAACTACCAAGGATCATGAATTCATTTTGCAGGAAGTAACAGTGGACAGTGAAACAAGATTTCCATTGGAATTTTCTGATGAATGTTATATAACAGTTGAGTATATACTAAAACAGTGGATAGTGTTTTTCACACGCTCTGATTGGCTACTCAATCAGTGAATATCCTGCACTATTCACTGATTCACCTCCAGTTCCTCCGAGCAAGCGACGCCAAACTCACGTAAGTTGTGAGCAAAATGCCTTCCCAGTTTGCTGCCATAACAAACAAAGAAATTTAACTACTAATCAAGCAAGCTGTTCCGGAAATACACAAAGAAGGTGACAAAGTTCGGTTTGGAAGTTTTAACAGGTAAAGCTTTGTCTTTTTGACTCGAATTTATCGATAAAACCGGTGAAAAAGTTTTTTGTTTACAAATACAAATTAAGCTTAAGTCTTGTGTTACTATTATTTAGTTGACTTGTTCATAAATAAGCTTAAGACTAAATTTAATAATCTTTTTTTACAGAATGATTTTAAATACAAAAAGAATTCACAACTCCTTTTGAAGAAATTTCCCAGCAAAAGCTAAACAAATGCCCTCGAAAGTATTATTTGTCGGCAAGAAAAAGCGACGGCCGCGGCCATTCAGTCATTACGCGCCGCTTGCTTGACTAGCTCATGCTAATTTGGGCATGATTTGAAAGATCTCATTCCCTGCAGAAGTTTCTCATGAAAGTGGTCTATCATGTCAAGTAGTCTGTCACTAGCAGAACAAGAGATATACAGGGGCAACTACAGCCAGTTGATATGTAAATGTATCAAATAAATTTCCCTCTTTATATAAGCTGTTACAATATTTCTGCACTTACCAAGAATCCCCAGGCCATTTCCAAAAGATGGACCCCTCCGTGTGCATCCATTAAGTACACTGTAAAATTTGCAATAAACAAATCAATTTGTTACTTATTCTACCAAACAAGCTCAGAAAATTTACTCTGACTTGTCAAATTTGTTCAAGGCTGTGTTTTAAGAGCACCCAGTGACCCCTGGCACCTAACTTTTATGCCCAGGTAACTATAAAAATCTAGTTTTATTACTATTTTTTTTTCATAGAAATCATATGCTGGGCACCCTGAATTTCACAGGCTCAGTGCAATGAGCTCCATTCAATTTTTCTTAGAGCACAGCCTGGCCCTAGTTGGATAACACTAAAGCTGGATAACACTATCCACTGGATAAATCTTTGTCCAGTGGATAACACAAGTACTTAGCCACTGCATAGTGATTTATCTGGTGGATAGCGCTATCCAAAGTTTAAATTATAATACAAAATTGATATAAGTATGATCAGTCATGAATAGGATTGAATACATACCTATTTACTCTAAGTTTGAGGGTCTTGCCATCTGGATTCCGTAGGCCCTCATATAAACCCCATGTCCCCCCAACTGCCAAACCTTTAAAAAGAGGATCATCATATCAATTACAGAAAAGTTTCAAACTCTCCAAAACATGAAAGGCATCTGATGAATGTATCTAATCTGGGTGGTTAAGAAGTAGAGCCAAAAAGTAAAAAAGTACATGTAGATGGCAATGGCAAGTGGCAACACCATTTTTGCTCTATTTTTTTTTTCTTTTTACTAGTGAGTACATGTAGCAACCAGTCAAATTACAGAACTTCTTGATAACCCTGGGGTCAATTTAATAAAACTTTTTCACATGTAGCCATTGTTCTAGAGTTTGAAAACAGTACTAAGCTACATTTGTAAAAGTTTTAATAAACTGACTCCTGCTTGTCATAAGAACCAAGTCCAAATTATAATAAAAGAACTTTTCCCTAACTCAGCACCTGGTTGACCCTTTTCCACTTCTGCAACAGTATGTTAAGGGAAGATTATTATTAGGTCAATAACTTGAAGATGAAATCGTATGATTTTACCATAAAAATGAATACTCTTAGGTAGAACTTTTGCATAGCACTATTTAGTTCTTAGGATTTTAATAACAGAATTGGATTTATTGAGAGTGAATTATTTTCTTTGGCAGCCATTAGGAGTGAAAGGGTTTAACTGAATTCAACAATGTTCTGACAACATACCACACATATACGAGGTTCCAATCCCTGAAAACATCTGTTCACCCCAACTTCTCTTCTTTTTACTATCAGTGGGAAAAACAAACTCAGCTCCACCCTGTAAAACAAAGTTAAAATCTTATGCTTTAACTACAATATAATTATAGACTGCCTTGAGGTTAAAAATTCTAAGTATAATGCTGCAAGCAGATGCTGGGTGTTAACACATTATCTGAGAAACGACGAACTGGCATATGTACACATTTTGCTGATAACAGACCCTGACATTGGGTCAAGAAATTTTTTTGTGGAATAAAAAACTTCAAGAGAGTCCTTAAATCACAACTTATTCATTGTGATTTGGATCTTTATTGGCCAGTTTACAGTCATACTGTTTGCACACATCACGAAATGCATACCAAACACAATTAGAATGAAGAAATACAGTGGTACGATTTTAAATTAAGTTATAATGACACCACTGGCTGTTTCTGCTTAGAATCATCCTGACAGAAAAATCGAGATTGCAATACCTGTATAGTGGTAATAGTCAGGGAAAATACCTACACCTGGGCCCTTAATGAAAGCTCTGAAAAAAAGTGTGATGCACATGCAGAGTTTGTTTTGCTCATAATACCAATAATATTGTTTTCATTCATTTATTTATTTTTTTACATTCTCATTGCCATCATGGTTGTGGTTGCTAAAGCTCTCTATAATATTATTACTTTACCTGATTAAGATATGATGGATCAATGTTCAGATATGGTGAGAGTGCTGCACCTCTGTTGACTAAAAAGAAAGATGAAATGCATGTCACACTTAAGTACAAGGCATCCAAGCTACCAAAAAAGATGGATGCATTCAAGCCTTGTGATGCATGCACAAAAGCCTTGCAAAACTTTTTTATTCCTATACAGTTATCTCTTTTCAATGTTGTGCAAGCTTAAGTCAGGGTTGTCACTAAGATTTCTAGTTGCCGGATAAATACAACAAGTACCTGCATGCAAGGAATCAAACACCTCACCTCTCCTAACCCTAAAAGACAATTGGTTCATTACCCTAACCATGAAACAATGGGAAATAATGATAAACAATGATGTGTTATTGTTTCCTGCGACCAATGAGGAAACACCTTACGAGCAGCTCCTACATTACTTGGGTCAGCTAGGGATATCTTTTGTTCTGTTTTTTTTCTATTTTCCAATGAAAGTAGCCAGGGACCACATTCAGAGTAGCTGAGGAAAATCCCCAGCCCCCGGCACTTAATAGCTTGTGAAAACAGCTGTTTCTCCTTGCTCCTCACCGCTGGGAATATTTCGCGGGAGGAACGTCTGCGACTCAATGACAGAAATTCCATACTGATGACATAAAATCAATGTTTAAATAATAAATCCAATAGTCATGGGGTTCCAAATGCAAATTTGTTCAATTTTATGTTTCTCCTTGTCGATTTTGGTAAAGTGTTGTGTTCATCTGCAAACAAGCTCCAGCGAAACTCAAAACCTTCTTCTAGAGAAGAGTACATTCCACAAATATTGATTGTTTTGTTATAAATTCATCGCTTTTACATTTGACCTTTGTAGCCTTTTGTCTTTTGTCTGTCATTCGTAAAAAATAGCTAAAACAATGTAACTACTTAGTTGTCCAATCAGCGCTTATGACCCGATTCTGGTCAGATTTTACGTCATCTGTATGGAATTTCTGTCGCTGAGTCACGGACGTTCGTCCTCGCAAAATGTCCCCAGCAGCGAGGAGTGAGGAGAAAAGGCTGTTTTCGCTGGCTAAGCACTTAATGACACCCCTGTTAAATGTTTTAAATAACTCTCTTTGGTCTGTGACACATGTACAGCTGTTATATACCTTGTTTGGTCTTACAATACATGTATGTTAGGCAATTTCAATTTTTCTTGTAACATGTAATTTCTTTCAAATTTGTAACAACACCAGCTCCACAAGCCAATTCTGACTGGCAATCAAACTGGAGCAAGAATTTTGTGGTGCCCGACTTAGACTTGTCCACCGCAGGGATAAAGCTAAGGAAAAGCAACGCTGGCTTTTTCATTGGTGAAGCCAGCTTTTTTACGCAACTGAACCTTCAAAATTACTTCATGTCTTTGTTTTCCAGAGCCATTTTAGAAAGGGTTAGCTCTTTTTAAGCCGGAGTAATTATTGCTCTAAGCAACAACCCTACCGGAGCATGATGTAATCAATACAATGTCTCAGGCTTGGTATTCCCATCGTTGTAAATGAGTTTTACAGTACATGTAATTTAGAATTCGCTTGTGAAACAAACAAGCAAACTCAAGTTTAGCGATAAAATGACCTTATTTAACAGACATGCTGCTACTCACATCGTACATTCGCAATATATTTTTCAAAGTTACTTATGTCATAGTCAAGATCTTAGAGAACATCGGAGCAAGCACCTTACCGGAATACGCCATACTCGGGTCTTGTATTGAATAATCATCTTCCCTATTTCCCAAATTCATTTTGAATGAGAAAAGTACTTAAACAATGAGGAGAAATCAATAGAAAAAGAAAGATTTGCAGGAATATATTTCCTCTACGCACCCTCGTGCAGAATGAATGCATCAGTGCGCGTGCGTGTAGTATATATTACGCAATAAAGAGTGATCATTGCTGGGACCTGGGCCCGACCAGCGAGGAATTGGAGGGGAGGATCGGGGGTGATCGGGTTTTTATCCGGCTCGAACATCTCTAGAACCTGGGATCAGGCGGAAAAGAGGGGGAAACAACGTAGGCCAGAACATATCCCAATAAACCTCCTATAGCTTTTCTATGGTCTTGTATGTTTTGTTTTCCCAATGAATGTCAGAAAAATTTGACTATTGTCTCTTAATATAAAATTATGTGTATGTTGCAGTTTATTTTTTATCTCACGTAATTTTTTGTTTTTCTTTTGTTTTTGGGTATGGTGATTTATGCTAATGAAGTTGAAACAAACGAAAAATTAAAATTACCTGAGATAAAAAAGTAACCACAACATGTACATTTAAGCCTGCGTGGCAGGTGCAAAGATGGGAGCCGGGGAGAGGGAGGAGGGAGAAGAGCCTGCTATTCAGGCTATGTTTACATATGTGCGGGGTAAGACAAAATTTGAAAACAAAAGTTCACTACAGTGCTCAGTCATTTGACCCAGATTGAAAAACAACAACTTACAACAACAACAATGAAAGTTAATTTTGGCCAATGTTGCTTCTGGTCCTTCTGCACAGTTAATAATATATATGCCAACAACTCTTCCAGATTATCCCAGAGACCCGGATCTCCCGGATATTGCACTTCCACTGAGTCAGTAAATCTCCTGGATGAAATGGAATCTTGGGCGTTTCTGTTCTGTAGTTTGAAATTAAGCCCATTGTTCCTCAAAGGTCAATATTTCTTTTTGATCATAGTACAGTCTCCACAGCATTTTTGCACATTTTTCATCATTGACAAAACTATTATAACAGAGACAACAAAAAATGAATTGAAGCATTTGTTTACACCTGGGGACATTTTGCAGACTATATTGACATGATTGAATATATATTAACCGGTTTTATGAAAAAGATGCAATGTACCCGGTAATGCGTTAAATATTAAAACAGTCACAAAACAAGTTTGGTTTTACTTTATTTGGGGATTTATGCCGCCAGGATACGTGGGCACCATCACGAATCTTCAGATAGTTTTGAATACCCAAAACATTCCTACTTAAATCAAGCTGCCCATAAAAAAATAGCCTGCGAAGGGGTAGAGAAGTGGCAACCGGAAATACGTCTGCTGTTCGCAGGCTAATAAAAAAATATTTGCCAAAATTTTCCTACCCAAAAACATCCTGAAATCGAAAATTTCAAACCCAAATAATCCTTCGATCATCCCTGTCATTTGAAATCCAGAGTACCCACCTGTGTGTGGACACTGGAGGTTTTAACACTAATTATTATTGCAATGGAAAGGTAGCGGTAACCAGAAAACAAATTTTTTGACTTTTCCCTGATATTTTCAAAGACGATTTTCAGAACATTCTGTAAAAAACTTCCCTGACCTTGAAAAGTAGTTTTTCCCTCTTAGCCAAGACCATGAAAACCCTGACATACATGTATAATACTCATTACAATATTGGAACCTGATTTCTTTCAACCTTATCATATAGCTATTTCTGCAGACTTACATGTACAAGTACATGGGCATCCACTGATTTCTGTTTCTCTTTAGAACCCCACCTTGATTTAAGTCTTCTTCTCAAATGTGGGTTCAGAAGAGATCATTGTAATCTTTAGGTATGTAATAGAATAAGTTTTACCGTTTTTATTGTATACATAATAAGAGCTATAAACAACTAAGAACATCCTTAGTGTTGGTGGTTCACAACTGGTTGGTATGTGCATGCCCGATAGATCACTTCCGTCTTCATGCATGTGATTCAATGGTGTGTACAGTTTCCTTCATGATGTGTTGTTTCTGCCACAATGGGTGCATTCCATTGGGATCAGGATCAGTGATCCGAGATCACTTAGATCGTGTAGATCAAAGGAACCTATGAATCCTTTTCCAGAGTGGATTTGTCCGTTCCTATGATGAGGCCCTGTTAGGGTTAATTCCAACAAGCAATATGGCCTTGAAACAGCGACATAGGACAGCAGAAATGACGACAAACAACACAAAGATGGGTTGAAACTGCAACAGTGACAGAGAAAGGCACAAATACAATTGTAAAATACCAACAGCGACATGGCTTCCTCCTCAATACACGAAACGACATGTTTTAAAATTCAGACAAACGGACATACGTAACCCTCCTGAGGGGGCCTTTTTGATGCACCATGACCTGAGTGATCTTAGATCACTGAACCTGATCCAGGTCATCTCAATGGAACACACCCAAGGTTTCTTTCAGCCACTTTTTCTCCTCTCCCTTTCACTATTTCAATACTGATATTTTTTTTAGTGTGACGGGTGCCTGTTTTTATTTCCTATTAGTGGTGGCTTATGGCTGGGTTGCACATTCGTGCCAGAACCATGGGAGCACTATTCAATCCAGGGGCTGACTGCCCTATACTCCAGACACCCAACCTCTTTCAAGGAAATGCAGTTGTTAAATCAAGGTTGAAATCACCAGCCACTAGATCAAAATGGTTGCAGTTACACTCACAGGCATTTTTTTGGTCTTCAGGATAAATACCAGAACCACATCAGTGGATCACATGATGACAGTATTTCTTGACTTGTTAGCATGTACTATAAAACTTGAGTTTCAAAAGTAAAAATCTTTTTAATCATGTCCGCCTCACCATCAGTTCTATTGGACTTCAGTTGTTCTGTGTGACATTGAATGAATTGTTATCCATGATTTCCCATACTTTTTCTTGCAGAATTGGAACAATTTCTGCCGATACAAACAGGTGGGTCTCATCCAAATCCTCAATCACAAACTTTCTGCCCAAAGTTATTTTCTCATCGAGGTGAAGAAGAAATTGCTTTACTGCAGGATCGCTATAAGGGAAAAGATATTAAAATATGTAAATTTGTGGTGTTACCAGGCTAAGAGAACATTAATACAAAGACAACCCAAAGACCGTGGTATATATAACAAAATGCTTATTAGCAATGAAGTACATGTAAATGTTGCTTACTTAAGAAATAGGGCCAAAAGTGCTAAAAGTACAGAAAGGACACTCATCATTCAGTTTCCTGTTTAAGACAGCCTGCAGTTTTTTGTTTTGCTTTGTTTTTTTTTCAGCTCTTTGCGCTGGAAAATATGCTTTACTGCCACAGACCAAATTTGTTTTGATTTATTTCTTGAGTCTGCAGCACTCACAACAAATGAAAGTCTTCCTAAATTGCACTTTGACAACCACTGCAACTTCATCACACTCACACTCCAATCACACATAAGCCCACAGCGAAACCACCCTCTGTTAGTGGGGCCATTGTTGATTGAAATCCGGTTAAAATCTGCATTTTGGAGAAAATTACAGCCACTGTATTGTTCATCTGTATTTCTAAAGAGAGAGACTCGGATTTCAATCAACCCCACTAACAGAGGGTGGTCTGCCTGTGACAAGCCACTTTCTTGTTTGACCTTGGATCAGTTTTCACAGAGCTGCATCTCGACTAACATTACACACAACAAAATAATGAAACACGCACCACAAAATAAACACAGTGTCACTGGTTTTTCACTGGAACATGTCAAAAGATAAAAAAGGGAAAATAAATGGGAAAGGGTCTATTCTCATGATCAAAAGTTCTCCCAGGTGGAGGAGGTGCATGTGTGTTTGGGGGGGGGAGGGGGTTGGGGCTGAGGAGGTGATGGTGAGCAGTAATTGCAACCTATCAGACACTTCTTTCAACGTTTTATAAACCAAAAACGCGGGGATAATCTAAAATATTAAATTTAGCCAAAGAAGAGACAGCGAAAAGCGTTGTTAGTCAATGTAAAAGAAGAGGTAAACGAGTTAGAAATTACGGAAAGAGCTGGAATCTTAAACTTAATATTTTTATAAGGTAAGCTAGGAGAGTCTTTATAATAGCAAATTGGTTTCCAAAGTTGTACGAAGAAAAAACTTACCATTCAACCAAAACTCCTTTCGTCACATTTACCATCGTAAAATTCAACGTGCTTACTACCGCGGTTTTACTAACAAACAAATGTAGTACAAGAGGGAAAATCGACATCCGAAGATCCGAACAGAGCTTGGTAACCGCCTGGGAGAACCGAGAAGTGTTCGGGGGAGTGGAACGGGGTAACTCTTGCTTGGGAGGAGCGAGGAACGCGCGGTGACGCGCGGTCCATAATAAAATCAGAAATAAAAATCAGAAAAAGACAAGACAACAAACAAACAAACAAAAGAAAAAACGGGGGGAGGGGGCGATGGAATATTTTGCTCAAGGGCCGTATAGCTATTTCTTGATGAATTTCTCACTGTCTACATATTATGAAATAACACTACTCATTTTTTTCTTTTTTACAGCACTGGCCAAGCTATAAACAGTCTATGTACAGGAGCCCCTCCTGCTGTATGTCAGTTCAGCAATTTATGCAAATATTTCAGAATATCATGTTAATTTAAACCAGGATTAAAAAAACGTTGTGGACTTTTATAATTTATCTTTATTGGTTAACAATTACAACAAAAATTCCTTGTCAGTTTGATGTCTGAATAGTCTTAATTCACGGCTTATACATACCTTTCACCTACTTAGTTGAGACATCTAAGCTGTCTTTAAAATATGAACAAATTACGAAACAAGAAACTTTTCTTGGCTTTTTCATAGCCATAAGATGCATCTGTTAGCCCTTTTGGTTTTTTTTTTACAGACCAAAACAACAGATTTCCCTACGCTTTAATATACCGGAAGCAGGGCTGATTAAGAGGCGGGAGCCGCGGATTTCCCCTGGTTACTATGAACATGCCCCACGGTTACTTTCACAGGAAAATCAAAGAAAAATAGAAACAAAAGAAATTCCTAGCTGTTAGATTCCTGCCTACTTGTTTTATTTACCTGGCAACTTGAAATCTTGGTGACAGCCCTGAACCTGAAGCCTGAAAAAAGAGCCTTGCGGGCAGTGGCTGCTTGTATGGTCTATTATAGTGAGTACGTACTTCACTCCAGGGCCTTTCCCATTACCTCTCTCAATAATATTAATCATTACCACCTTTGAAAGGCATCATGTGCATCCTGGGCCTATATTCCTTGTTATTATTATTTTTTGTTGTTGTTGTTGATGTCATTTCTGTTTTTATTCTTTGCTCCTTTGGTACCTTTTCTCTCTGCTAAACATGGTGTGCTCTCAGGTGATAATTTTTTTTCTCAGCTATGATCCTACTTCCCAAAGTAATTATATGGCCCCCTTCCATTTTTGGCTTAACTGCAGAATACCCGGCCACTCTTAAGCTATACTCTGGCTACAAGGCCATGTAGTCTAGGTTTAGGGTTAGGGTTAGGGTTTATAGGGTCATAGTTAGGGTTAGGGTTAGTTGCATAGCCACGTAGCCATGTAGCCTCATAGCCACTGTTATAGGAGTATAGCTTCAAAGTGGCCAGGTATTCTGCAGTTACTCCTCATTTTTTTGCATTTACCCTTTAGTTTTCCCTATGATTTTGGTTGAGGGAAGCAGACAGACTAGGACTATTGTGTACTTCTTATTAATTGTGTCCGTCCTACACAACCACTCTTTCTGCAACAGGGTACAAGCAAGAAACATACTTGGAAGTCTCCCTGCATTTTTGCCTATTTAACAGTACAAATCCCTTTGCTGTTAAAAAAGAAAACTTGATCTCCCTTAACCTAATTTTTTTTTTTTAATTTTAAAAACACTTCACTTGCTTTCAATTGCCTAATGCAAGTGGGGAGAGGGGATGTTCACTAGTGACAGACTTTTGTTGCACACTCCTACTGCATGAATGGAAATTCTCATGTTTAGTGCACATCGTAGTAGAGAGCAGTGTCAAGTGTGGACTTAGTCTCCTTCGCAGCTGCTCAGGCCAGAGTCACGCAATGCTGCTGTTCCCACACATGTTATCAGAGTAGATCGATTCAATTTTCCAAGGTATTATTCCAGTCTTGAATTGCTTGGTGTAAATATATTTTAGCATCTTCAAAGCTTGGGTCAATTCTGATGGCCTCTCTCAAGTCTTCTACTGCATCCTTGTATCTCCCTGCAGATATATTAGGCAATATTTTTCATTTGAATGCGCAACAGACTGTTGTTAAAGGAACAGTATCCCATTACTGTGCATGTACAAAACTTTGATTTTCTGACAGGATGTCACTAATTCAAAAGATGCGAAAAGAGTAAGAGAACCTTGAAAAATACTTTTGCATCGCACTTGGCTGAGTTCGATTCTGCACTAAAACTTCTCAGAATTACAGATCAATGATATATTGTTCCCTTTAAGTTTAGATTTGGGAGAAATCAGGATTTTTTGGCATTCCTTTCTTTGCCATTGGCTGGAGGATCAAGAGAATGGAAGCACTTTAATACCAGTTGAAGGCTCATTAATTTTCTCCTGCCCACTTCCATAGAAGCTCAGATAATAGTGGAAGGAATACACAGAAATGGAACAGCACTGAATAAAGGCTATATAAGAAAGAAACCATAAAGACTTAGATGTGACCAATAAGATCTTGTGGAATTAAGCTTTGTGAGGCACAATGTTTTGCAACGACTGTCTTAGTAAACTTTTAAATAAACCTCCCTACTGCCAACAAAATCAAGCAAATGGCACTACATGTTTAGGGAAATGAGTGCAATGAGATCACACATTACTTTTGAGGCTAGAATGTGAGCAAAGATTACTTGAGTCGGACTTGCCACAAATTGACCTCTGTCACAAGTTTTACAGCAGAAAAGCTGTTTTAAAAGTGAGGGCAATGAGCTTTTTGGGTCTCAAGGTGGCCGAGCTAGCAACAAAACTGCGATAAGTCTTTGTGCCGCGATCTGAATTTTAAATAAGGCGAAAGACTTCTTTGAAAGTCTAAAATATCACTTGATGATGTAAACAACAAGTCTCCATTGGAGGTGCAGTCCCAACTGAAATCTTGTTGCATCAATATGACAGTTCTATTGTCTTTTTAAGAAAAAACAGATGATGCTTGTACATGCATGTGCATAATTGGGACACTGTCCCTTTGAGCACACAAACTTAGTTCTTGGGGCAGAGGGAGGGAGGGGGGGCGACTTAAGTCACTCTTCGTTGAAAGGTACCTCTGGCCTCGTAGAACCCCTACCCAAAGCCGATTGTAATATAGATACCATCATAGCCAGTGAGAAATTCATCAAAGACTATCTACTGCAGTCTATTCAGTAAATATAAGGTACAAATTAAACAAATAAAAAGTAACTATGGAAAAAAAAAACATGCTCCACCACAAGACTCAGTCAGAAGGTATATGAAAGAGATTTCTATAGCCATGTTCTAAAGCCAAAACAAAGGGAAATAAAACTTAAACCAAGGATAAAATTGAACATCCCATCGTAGCTACGTTATACATCTATAAGAGTCCTAATATTTTCAAGCTTCGTAACTATAAGGTTTCATAGTTACATTTATACATACCCATTCTATAATGAATCTGCCCTCTGTTATAGAAAGGCACTGCAAACTCGTTATCCAGAAGTATAGCTTGAGAGAAGTCTTCCACAGCACCATAAAAGTCGACTTGCAAATACTTCAAATGTCCTCTGTCATTCCACGCGCGGGCTATCAGGACTTTTGGTAGATCGTCCTCATTTTTAATGTTTTCAGAAAGTTCAATCAATTTATTCAATTCTTTTATGGCGCCATCATGGCATTTTTTAGCTTGCAAAACCTTCGCTCTTTCGTAAACCTCTGCAAAAGCTTGCCTCCGATGTTCCGACATGTTTGAAACCGAGAGAAACTGGGCGCTGAACGCCTGAGATGACTGGGAAAAGACTGGGAACGAGTATTTACCGACCGCCATTTTTTCAAAAATTTGGTTTTGTTGTTATCAAAGTTTAATCAACTGCAAGAGAGTATTTTAACGACAATGTCCTTCAAGGAAGCACTAGACACTGTAAATGAAGTTGTAACGGTTCTTTCTAGCGTAGAAGACGAAGAATCGTTGGACAGGCTTTCAAATGAATTCGACGAAATTCACAAGCAACGCTCCCTTCAGCAAGAAGATGTCAAAGCAACTATACAAGGACTAACCAAGTTACTGGCCGAGAAAGAAGAAGAGGAGAGATTGGCGAAAATCGACGAAAATTCAGGTGGAGTAGAGAGTCTACAGGAGGAAAAGAAAACAACGTTACAGCACATCGAGAAATTGGAGGTGGATGTCAAAGTCTTCGAGAAAAACATCACAGAGAAAGAAGAAGAAATCAACGAGTTCAAGAAAAAAGCGACAGAGGTTGAAAGCAAAAATGAAGAGGTTCTTCCTCAAGCGAAGTACAATTTCAGCCTTTACAGTAACGTAAGCCATATAAGATGGGATTATGAATGTGAGGATGACCTGGTAAAAGGATTTGTTGCAAATTTGAGTGATGTAAAACCGTTTTGTTTGAGAAAAAGCGAGAAGTCCAACTATGACATTGCTAACTATCTGTGGGAACTCATGGAGGACTAAATGAGCTTGGATCGTCAGATGACCAAAGGTTTTGATCTGAAAGTTCTAACATTTATGAAACTATTTTTGTATGCATAGGTTCTAAGCTATGATTCCTTATAGAACCACGTAAGCCAAGAGAGAACAAAACAAGCGATGGAAATGCTTCTTTTTTACCTCCTTTACCCAATTCACCATATTCATCAAGACCATAATTCCCTCCCCCCCCCTCCCCCCTCACACCACCAAAAAAAATGCATAACCATTGAATTCAATTTTTTCTTGGAACAACTGTAATACTCAGGAGATACTGGAAACAATGCCTGGTGGTTATGCAAAACTTTTGGGGGCAAACAAGGTGCTTTATGGTCTCAGTGAACATGGTGAATAGCTTGTGTACAGGTCTCCCCCAATTTCTTTGCTGCACATATCATTCTTGTCCCCACAGCCTCCTGGGTGCCCTGAGCACGAGGACCAGGAGGCTGTACAGTGGCCCAGAAGGGTCACACGTGCAAATTAAAAATTGTACATGCAAACTAAAAAAATTATCTGCAAATTAAATATAGTACATGCAAACTAAAAATTGTGCTGCAAATTGAAAATAGAATACATATCGATGCAAATTAAAAGTGAAAAGTCCTGCGTGCCCAGTATGAGTGATGAGGACCTGGTCCGAGCCGTGCGACCTGGCCTTACAGCTGTCGGCCTGTTCATGTTTCATGTTTGTAATATTTTTAGTTTGCATGTACAATTTGTAATTCGAATGTCCTATTTTTAATTTGCAGGTAAAATTTTTAGTTTGTAGCAACATTTTTAATTTGCGTGTGTGACCCTTCTGGGCCACCGTAAGGTTGTGGGTGGATTTGAAGTCCTAGACTTTAGGACTTCCCGTCATTTCTAATTTTCTACGTTTCTAATAGCATTCACTTGCTCTTGCCAAAAGTGTCAATGACTGTAGATTTAGGTGATTCAAAGATTTTAAAAGAGAATCCGCCAACTTAGTTTTGAATCAGAAATGACGGGAAGTCCTGAAATCTAGGACTTCAAATCCTGTGTCCCCATAGCCTCCTAGTGCTCATGCTTATGTCCCCAAGAGGCTCTGGGGTCTGCATGCAGACTAAAATCTGACTGGAAATTACTAAATTTAATGTGGGTGTCTGGGTTTGAGTCTGTTTATTATTGGATTTTTCAGTACAGTAACTCACATAGTCAGCAAGAGCACTCCCAGCCTTGAAAGATCCTGAAGTTTGGTGTTTGGTATTTATTGGGTAAATATTGAACAAGATACAGCTAATCAAAAACTCCAAAATTTACCAAAAAAAAACTAATGAGTGAAATCCAATTCGCTCTTTAAGCATATGAGTGATGAAACAAAACCTAACCACTGCATATAGTGTCTATGTTAATTCAGTCTGTATCACATGTAAAATTGAGCTGAGTGAAATAAATCTTCTTGTCTTGTCATAACTGTAAAAAAATTGCTATAATTTAGGTAACCTTTTTTAATATTAACACATGATCTTGCAAGACCTTGGAGTCTGCTAGAATTGAAAAAAAAAATACCTGGGAACAGCTAAGGTACAGTGTAACGTACAGTCACAGCCTCCTCCTCAGGCACTTCGTTTTTCGCATGGCAGAGGCGAGCGCGAAACGAGTGACTGGTGATGAACCGCAAGGGACCATGGGAAGGATACAGATGGCAGGCGAGGTGCCGTCTCGCTCTTTGTCTCCTTCCCGCCTTCCTTTGCGCGCACATTTTCATCAAAAGAGAGACGTCTGGGTACAAGGCAGGTCCAGTCACTTAGGCATGATGTGAACTGTCCTGTTAATGCTGAAGTCAGGCCTGCTGATAGCCAATCAGATATTAAGAGATTTTTGTTATAATCATAACACCCAGACAATGCGTCCAGCAACCCATATATTTTCTCAATAAATTTTCAAGTTTTTGAATGGCTTTATCTGGTTCAATTTAAACTGCAGTCAGACAATCCTACTTGCCTGACCTTCGTCTGATCGTAGGTTTGTCAATATTAATCAGAGTGACTCACACCAACCTTTTGGGGGATTTCGGGTCAATTTAACCCTCGGACATACACGCAAATTCATACCCTCACCACGGTACAAAGGGGGGGGGGTGGATGGAACCCCTCCCCCCTCCCTGGAGTTTTTGACATGTTGCCGTATTTTGAAACGATTTTACCTTTAGTGGAAAGCCTTTGAACTTCTTAACAAGATGAGGTATATTTTATGGGTGGTGGCCCTGCTGGAGGCCGGTGATCTGCCGGTGACATCACCAACAATGGTCACCATCTTGGATTTTACCAAGAATTAGAAATCAGGTTAAAACCATGAGAAAAAGGTTTTTTTTTTTTACTTTGCATGAAAAATAACACATAAATAAACACTTTGCATGATTTTAGCCACAAGATTTACTTTTATTGTTGAAAGAAGTTAAAAAAACATGTATTTTCACACAAAAATGGCTTGACCACCTGCTACTTATGACGTCATATCTCGTAACCATAGTAACTGTTTATCACTGAACTCGTCTAAAAATGTGCGCGAGGGATGAATGAACAGCTACTGAAAAAGTTAGCTGCTGATGTTTTATCCTCTAGTAAAAAACTCAAAAAAACTTACAGGGGGGGGGGGGGGGG